AGGGCATTTTGGTACTTATGAATAAAGTCTTAATATGAAGCACCTGTTACTGTCAAACACTCACTCAAATGTACAAGATCGTTCACTGATATGGTGGTCATATAGCTGGTATCAGAGTTATATCTGATCATTCTGAAATCAGTGCATAACAATATGAACATCTGTTGTTGTTCTTCTTTCGGATGCTCCCTTTAAGGGACACCACAGCTGATCATTGGTCCCCATATTTGATTTGGCACAGTTTTTACGCCAGATGCCCTTCCTGATGCAACTCTCCCCAATTTTATCTGGGCTTGGGACTGACACTGGAATTGCACTGTTGTGTGCAACCCTAGTGGCTGGGGTTGGTTCCCTGGCTGGGACCCGAACCCAGGTCATGGCGGTGAGAGCGCTGTGGCCTAACCACTAGTCTTCCAGGGACCCGATATGAACATCTGCACTACAATCATATTATACATATTATACATGTTATATATTATATGTTTATTTCTCAAATCTGCTTGGTCAGAAGATGTTGATTAATTTTCTATAACAGCATGATTATGACAGTAGTTCCAAGTAGTAGCTGTAAGTGGAAATGTTTATTTAACATTTACAAAGGTGTCAGTGCTTTGTCAATAAGTTTTCCGACATGGGAAAGTGTTCAGGACGGAGGACAAGGGGTAGACAAAGTATTGAAAAAAATTATAGTTAAATGAAAGTATAGATAATGTGTCATAATCTTACTCACTTGAAAGTGGAAGTATCCTGCCAAAAGTGTACTTGAGTCAGAGGAAGAAGTTTCTACATTTAAATATACTCAAGTAAATATTTTAAATCGATGACATTATGTTAATATCATGTTTTGATGTGTAACATAAAGCTTATCACTTATCTAAAACTATTAGAAGATGATTTTCATTTTAAAGCAATTACACCATTTTGCCTGAAAACATCATTCAATCTTTGCAAGTTTGCTGGTCATATGCATGATGAACACAATGTACTTTCCTAATAAATTCATCAGAAGTAAATCCTGTAAATACCCAATATTTACCATAAGCTAGGATTTGACTTTCTGCCTAGCCAATTTATGTTATGTTTATGTTTGTATTTATGGAATTAATGCTAGTGTAACCTGGCATTAGCAAAGCATAACTTAGTTAAATATAGCCAGTTAATAAGAAAATTAATGAAACTTACCTCAACATGCTTTTTCAAAGTAGATGGAGTCCATGCCTTCTAGGAAGGTGAAGCAGGTTCCTCTCTTTAGACTAGTCATTTCTTAGTCTAGCATATTGAAACATTTACTGAGTTAGGCCAGGGGTGCCCATCCTTAAGTTCCACAGTGCATTCCACTGGCTTATCCATCTCCAGATGTACACAGATCGCTGTAGCTTTAACTACACTGTGTAGCATGAGAAGGTCAGAG